GGTCAGGGGCGCTGGCGGGAAAGTAATAAAGCATGAAATTAAGGTGTCTTCATTTAAATAAAAACAGAAGAATGCCCCCATGATTAATGGAGAATAGACTAAGTTTGAATATCATAGAGATTTCCTTCTAGTATGTGTTTATTTAACTCAAGGGGTTGAGATTTGAAACAAGAAATCGAAAGAATATGAACAAATATTATTGATTAAAGAAACATTTTTTTCTGTTAAATGGGTTACAAATACAAATGTCTCCTAATATTGAAAGAAGATATTAAAGGTTATTGTATATTGAAAATGTGTTTGTGCTGATCCTAAAGAGAGCTAATGTTACTATATGGTTAGCTCGACATACTGAAAGCAATGTAGCTGACCGAATGACTATCAGACGGTTGAAGGCCTGTCAAATGATCAACAACCATTTAGATGATCAAAGGCAATCCAACCGACCAAATGATTGTCAAACAACCGACTGGTTATCAGACAACTGAAGGCCAGTGAGATGACCGATAGTCAAATAAACGACAGAAAGTCATCCAACCTACTAAAAGTTGTTAGGCGACTGAAGGCCAGTCAAAAGATCGAAGGTTATCTAGTCGACCAAAAGGTTGTCATATGACCAAAGGCTAGTTAGACGTTGAATACTAGTCCGACGGTCAAAAGCTATCCAATCGACCGGAGGGTTGCCGAGCAACAGGCTATGATATGCAAAAAAGACCAGAATATCCTATACAACCCCACTTAAGTAACGGTAAAACATGTAATTTTAAATTGTGTCCCTCTATCTGCGATAAATAGTGCGATCAAATCATGTATTAAGCGCCCTTGGACCCCTCTCTTGTAATCTCTACTTTTAACGATGTAAAAATGGTCAAAATAGCTTGATAATTCTCTAGTTCGCACCAAAGGAGCAAGTTGTGGTCTCTCACCTCTTACGCTCTATTTCTTGGGTGTGACACATAACAAATCCAAATTCAACATCCTAAAATGTATGATGAGCGTGGATCATATCCCCAACAAGAGTAGGAGCATCGTAAGGAGAATAACTGAGGATTAAGTTTGGTTGGGTCAAGTCTCAATCGACGCAGCCGAAACAACTAGAAGTTTAACGAGCGAAAGGTTGCCGACCGATCGAAGGGTTGCCAACTGCATGAAGGCTTGTCAGCCGACTGAAGACTTGTCGGATCACCATAATTCAAACGGTCTGAAGCCTGGGCGACCTGAGACTAGGGAGAATCGAAGCCTAGACGATCGAAGTTCAAACCACCAGAAGTATGGAGGACCCAAAGTCCAAGAGCCAAAACATCATGTTTCCATCTTCTTTCGTGAGGATTTGTAATGAAGGCAAGAGCCACACCCCAAAATGAACACCCAACTCCAAAGGACCAAAGAGCCCCTCTAAGGGAAAGCGGACTGATAACATCTCTCCGACGCTCGATCGACATCTGTTAATTGATGCCTAGGTCGACGATAAAAAATTGTCATTTCAAATATCTCATTTTATCTGAAAAATATATAAAGTTTTAATTGTGTTTGCATAGGTCCAACTAAGACTCAGGGAACTCAAAGTGCTTATACACGTCTAGATTTAAGCCAACACTCGAGGAACTCATACACGAATAAAATGACCAAAAACGACGTAAGACGTTATATAGAAATTAAAATAAAAAATCAACCCCCAACACTAAATATAAAATCTCATATCTCTAAACTCGACACAATTAAAACTCAGAAGGTTTTTCCTACCAATAGCAATAAAATTTGTGAAGTGTACCCCATAAATAACCTCAGTATTGAGTCTCAATAGTTACCCTCGCGAAAAGCAACGATAAGATATCCTTAAGACCTGACAAAAAGTGCGGCTCGGCCGAGCCGACGACCAGACTAAAAAAACGAGACACAAACGGTATAAGACTTATGTCAAGCGATGACATCAAAAAATTGCCAACATTTTTTCCTAAGATGTGAAACATCAACTAACACCAACAGTCATCCCCAAGCAATTATCACAAACAAATAGCACGATAGAGGTAAAATGCTAACACAATGGAGAAGAACAATTGAAATCTTCATCCAATTGCATGTTAAAAAAAGTTACAGTGTTTCTATGCATTTTCTTACATGAAAAAAAGAAAAAAAATGTTTTTGATGTGACAAATGAGGACAACCGAAGGTCAACACAACCGACTGGCGGTTAGCTTGACCAACCAAAGGGTTGCCAACATACTGAAGAACAAAATACTCCACCAAAAGGCCCAACAGAGCACTACAAAAAGACAACGCAAAAATATGTCGAAACTAATGGAGTATCATTAATATAACATTGCGTAAAAATGATCACATTTTTTGCCCTAAAAATTTTCTCATTCTTATCGCTTCTTTGCCTCCAAGAAGTAAGAGAATATGAGAACTTAATATGAACACTAAAAATATGCTCATGTTCATCTTGAAGAGATCTAACGGTACTAAAAGATGAGCATGGCCGATTGAAGACCATCTAACTGGTTGAAAGGCTGTCAGATGACCGAAGGCCAGCCAGACAACCGAAGGCCAATGAGATGATCGACGACTGAAAGCCAACCAAAAGACTGTCAGACAACTAGAAGTCATTCAGACGACAGAAAACCATCTAGCCGACCGTAGGGTTGTTAGATGACCTAAAGTAATTCAATTGACTGAAAGGCTACCAAGCGACAAACTCTGGTATATATAAAGACCAGAGTACCCAGCAAGGGTTAAACATATAATTTTATTTTTTGTCCCTCTAACTCCTACAAATATGGGACCAGATCATGTATTAGGGGTTCTTTAAGAATCTCTCGTGTAACTTCTACTTTTAATGATATAAAAAATGGTCCAAAGAGCTCAGAAATACCCTAGTTTGCCCCAAAGAGGCAAGTCGCAATTGACCCCCCTCTCTCTCCTGTTTTACGCTATATTCATTGAGTGTGGTTCACAGGAGAAATCCATATTCAACAAGTATATAAAAATAATAGCTTAGACATCAATGAATTTAAAAAAAACAAATTTGTAACTTTAATATGGGAAATGTTATATGATCAATAGTGCACTAAAATTTAGCTAGATTGAATAATTTATTATCATGATTATAAAGAACATTGTTATATTTATGGACAAGGGCATGCAACCACAAAAGTCAAAATAAAAAAAAAAAAAATTATGCACAAGGTATTAGAAGACTTTCTTCTAAAGAATGCCCGTAAATTTTACAAATGATACTATCTTAACTTGAATATGCTAAAGAAAAAAAAATGCTCAAGAATAACAAATGCACTAATAATAACTATCAAAAAATACACTTTAGAGATAACAGGTTGCAAAATGGATTCAAAAATATAACAAAAGATTAATCTAAAAGACAACATGATGATCCTTTTAAGATCTTATTATTCATTATAAGTCCTCAGAGTTTTGTTTTAATTAGTGGGGCATGTAGTAACTTAAGAATTGATGCACATAAAAGATTACTCTAACATAATAATGAAGGCTAAATCATAATGAATCTCTATTCATATTTTTTTTTATTAGAGATATAGACTGACATGATATAATATCCTTCATTTTCAACTCAAAATATTGTTTTAAAGATTGAGAAAACTTAGCTTCAAGATTGAAGAATTCTCAAATATTTTATAATTTTTCTCATAAAATTTTCCCACATCTTAAAAAAAAAAAAAGTTAAAATAAACATAAAATCAAACTCAACCTCATAAGCATTTTTTATTTTAAAAAATTATTATTTTTTTTTTTTTGGTGGGAAGATAAGTGTTTAGCTTTATTACAGAAAAAGAATAAAAGAAAAAAAGTACAAAAAAGATAAAAAGGAGAAATTTTATTTTAAAATATTAAGTTTTCATAAAACAACATCTAAGGAGCCAAAGAAATAAGCATAAAAATCCTCTTAAAAAGTTTATATTCCCAGACGTACCTATGCTGCCAATAAGGGTCTGTTTGGGGTAGCTGTAAGTTTTTGAATAATCTGCTGATAAACTGATTAAAAATAATCTGTTGATAAGCTAGGTGCAGTGACTATTATAATTTTTAATTTTTTTGGAGAAGCCAAACCGCTGACAGAAAGCTGCCACCACACCTAGATAGGTAGGAGTCTAAATGAACCGAACACGAATGAACAAAGCTTGTGTTAGTGTTCGGTTTGTTTGAAATAAGTTCGTGTTCGAAATTGTTCGTGAATTCACTGTTTGTGTTCGTAAACAAAGGAGCCGAACACGAGGTGTTCGCGAACGACAAGCCAATTTGACATCCCTAATATCAATATATATAAATAATATATTATATTAATCATATAACTTATATTATATAAATATATAATATTTATATTAGTATATTACTAATTAAGTATATTAATATATATATTGCTATTATTAATTTATAATATGTTATAATTTATAAATTTTAATTTTTTAAAATATCATAAATTGTTTATATATAATTATTTTAAATTATTTTATATTTCGAACAAAAATGATTCGAATACGAACAAACTTATCATTGTTCGTGTTTGGTTCGTTTAACTAACTGAACTAAAAAAATTTCTTCACGTTCGTCTCGTTTACTTATCGAACGAATCGAACACGAACTCATTGACGAACTAAATACGAACTGTTTGCGGAGAACGAATTTTTTTAAGGCACTATAGATAGATACATTGTGAAGATAATATTTTCAGTGTTTTAAACTGACAAAACGCAGTTTACGAAACCGGGCCTAAGTGCGTTTAACTAACTGAACTAAAAAAATTTCTTCACGTTGGTCGCGTTTATTTATTGAACGAATCGAACACGAACTTATTTACGAACTAAATAAGAACTGTTTGCGAAGAACAAATTTTTTTATGGCACTATAGATAGATACATTGTGAAAATCATATTTTCAGTGTTTTAAACTGTCAAAACGCAGTTCTGTAATTAAATAATTTCTCTCGACACGGAAACGGAACCGTCTGCACAACTGTACTGGCTTAGGTTTACGGAGCAGATTTCCCATTCTTCGTCCCCTCGCTAGCACCGTGGGCGAGAGCGAGCGGGCGGAGGATACAGAATCCGATGAAGAACATATTTCGGAAGCTTCACATCGACACGCCCCCGCCGTCTCCGCCGGAAGGGGTATCGGTTGCTGCATCTGTGGAGCGGGTAGATTACTTTTCAACTGAGGAGGAGTTCCAGGTGCAGCTAGCACTCGCGATTAGCGCGTCTAATTCGGAGTTCAGGGATGATCCAGACAGTGATCAGATCCGCATCGCGACGCTGTTGAGCTTGGGAACCAGCAGAGGTGATGAAGGGTTGAGGGAGGAGGAACCGGCCGAGTCCCTGGCCCGGCGGTATTGGGTGAGTCTCAATTGTAATGCGACAAATTATATGGTTTCAAATGGGTGGGCTGGCAACTTTACTGAGTTGATTTAATATATTTTTTTTAACATAAACCTCAACTTTATTTATTTATTTTTTCTCTTTAATTATTCTCTTGTTGATAGTGTTAAGGTGTCAGCCTCGTTTTATTGCGAGAAAAATCGGCTCACTTTAAAAAAAAAATCATTCAGTGTTTTCAACGCAATTTTCATTTTCTAGTATATATTTCATGAATATAATTTTCTAATTCAGAACAAAAACAAAGCTTTATTTTTTCTCACAATGTTGACATTCCGAAAAGCTAGGCTATTGTTGATACCCATTTTCATGGCCAGGACTACAATGTGCTAGATTATGACGAGAAAGTTGTGGATGGCTTCTATGATATATTTGGGCTTTCCACTAATCTGAACCGTGGGAAGATGCCGTCCCTTCATGATCTCCAAACAAGTATTGGGGATCTTGGCTTTGAAGTTATTATAGTAAATCGTGCGATTGATACCGCTCTGGTTGAGTTGGAACAAGTTGCTCATTGCATTGCTTTGGATGTCCCTGCCACTGAGGTTATGCTTTTGGTTCAAAGAATTTCTGAACTTGTTTCCCAGAACATGGGTGGTCCTGTAAAGGATGCAAACGACATACTAGCTCGTTGGATTGAAAAAAGTTCAGAGTTAAGGACGTCACTCCAGACAAGCTTATTACCCATTAGCTTCATAGATGTAGGTCTCTCTCGCCATCGTGCCCTTCTTTTCAAGGTTTGTCTTTCTAACATACTTATCTCGATGTATTCATTTTTTACTGCGCATGACATAGTGTAAATTGATGCATGTCATAAAATTGAAATGGGCAATATCATGGAATTGCCGTTGATAGTTTCAGTAGGTAATCTGCATTACTATTCACATAAAGGAGCATAACTATAATGGATAAAGGCTTGATTGATATAGAGAATATTTATGTCAATCTCTGTATCATACTGTTTTATATTTTTTTGAGGACGATAATTATGTCCATGCTGCATGAAAGCCTAACTATAAGGTGAGAATAATAAGCGTGACATTTCTTTATCATAAAACTCCATAGTGCATTTTTTTGTTGTGACCAGAAACTACAGCCATACTCTTTAAATATATTAGGTGCTATGATACACCGACACAGATGATATGACAAATATGGTATATTCTTATTATTAAAAATATTAGATCTGAACATATATTGTATATAACATTAGTATGAAACTATCTTAAAAAGCCAAAGTCATCGTGTAGTAATTGCACAATTAAATAATTCATATAGTGATCAACTTTTGACTTTTTTAAAAAAAAAAAAAAAAAAAAAAAAAAAAAAAAAAAAAAAAAGACAACAGATGCAGCACAAAAAATGAACTTTTTTAAAACAAGATAAAATCTAACAAATTATAAAATTGCAATTATTATTTTTAAACTTAAAAGCCTTTATTAGTTTTTAGCTCTTTTGTAGCCCCATAATTTCCATAATGGTTAATTCACTTAACTCACAACATGTGTTAGATAGGCGTTGTTTATTTTAATCAAACACATCAATTGTGTGTTTGACATGTTTCAGGCGTGCATCGTGTTCTGCATGTGAAAAGAAACCGCTAGAAATAACAGAAGTGTGCATATTGCTTGATGATGTTTGCGAAGATGCCTCTTGGGATATTATTCAAATAGAGCAGAGATGTATTTTTAGTAAATTGATGGACCTATGTGAAATCGATCTAAATTGGGGCTCGGGCAGGGGTGGGGGGGGAGGGATGGGATGATGCAGCAGAATATCTTACTCTGAATTTACTGTACTCATATGTAATTTATATATCTCTTATGCTGCATCATGACTCGCTAATATTAGTTACCAAAACTATAAAATGTTGCCTGCATGAATGCCAGATTATTCAGGACAGAAAATTGTATTTGACAGTTTCTTATTTCTTTGCTACAAACATCAGTCATGATCTCTTACTGCTCCATGTAAAGTAAATGAGATCATATCTATTTTGAATAGCTCATAACCTAGCGATGGGTACATTGTTCAATTCTATTTAGTTAGAAACGTGGATACTTGTAATGCATCATAATGCAGCTGAAAAAAGTTACATTTGAAGGTTGGAAAGCCTCCTCAGTTGTTTAGATTTTGGCGACCGAGGCCGTGCTCTTATATGCCTTAACCACAAAATGCAGGTTCTGGCTGATAATATTGGCATTTCTTGCAAGCTTGTCAAAGGAAGTCATTACACAGGAGTTGATGAAGATGCTGTCAACATAATAAAGTTTGGTGATAATAGGTATGCATTTATATGATAGTCGACACCTTTGTATGATTTCTGCAATAGTCTTTCTTTTTGTAATTATATACAATTTTGTTTTTCGTTGCTTTTTATTAATCTCTAATTTCTGTACAATTCTCCCAGCAAGCTATATAACCCATAAGGGATCTCAAAGATTTCCCAGTAACACAAACGGGATTGCATATTTTATGGTTTTAAATTGTCAATATCCTTATTTAAGAACTATGATTTCATATTTACTGTGCATCATACAATATGTTCTCAAATGCTGTTACTTGTTTTTCACTAGTGCATAAACCCATATTTTTATTTTTTTGTTTATTGGTCATGTAAGGATTTTATAAGTTTTACACTCCTGGACTATTTTATAACTTATATTAGGTTTTCGGATGCCGGTAACCTTTGTTACTAGTGTAGAAAATTACTTGTCTATATGATGCTTAGTTATGCTTACTGAAATTTACATACCTTGAGTTATTATGAGGATAAAATTCTTCTGGATGCAATTGAAATATCTGATTTTCTTGTTGTTTCCAATTGAAAGATAATAGTAATCCCTTGCATCTAACTAGTAGAGCTGCCATGAACATGCTGTCTAGCCGTTCACCAATTTCACGAATTAGGGGATTCGAAAGAACTTTAGCCTTTTTGCATTTGGGATACACCTGCCATTCCTTTTATATTTCTTGTTCTTATACTATTCTTTTTTCACCCTCATGAGGGTTGCTATTTTGTACTCTGGATTTGCTGTTTATCGGTGGAGGATTTTTTTATTGTTTTCCATGGTCATTTAAGTAGCTACTCATCAACTCTGAAACTTGGACTCACAGATGTATATGCTTACCTTCACATTCGAGAAAATTTGAATCCCTTGGAGGTTTTTAACCTGAGTTGGGATACCTTTTTCATGTGCCCATTCAATAAGAGGAAACCTCAACACTTTTGACCTAAATTGCCCTGTTAACCTTAGCAGCAGGAAAGTGTGGTATTTGACAAGCCAAGCATTTTTTTTTTTCAAAACTAAATAAGAGAGGCGAGGGTGTGGAACTGGTAAGAGAGTAAAGACATAGCGGGGGGTAGGAATTAAATAAGTGAGAGTAGGAAAATGAAAATAGTCACTTTGGTTGATACTAGCTATTACTGAAAGTGGTTTGTGAGAGTATCTTTTACATGTAGATGGGATGGAATGGTCGACTTAAAATTGGCAGTGAAGCTGCATCTAGAAGAAAAAGAGTTGGGGAGAGAGGGGAGGGCATAGAGAAGGGAGACTCCGCTTGATCTGAATGGCTGGTAGCATTACAGGATAGAAGCTGCATATGATTGATCTTCAGTAATAATATATGAAGGTTTGGCCTCTGAAACCTTCTCATATGTTGTTAATAAAAAATATCATTCTCAAGAGGTATAGGATAGAGTATTGGTTAAAGATTTGGCCCTCATTTGAGAACTTCATATTGTTGAATTGTCGTCTAAAATGATTGCAAGCTCCCCTGATTAATCACACCTCTTGCATATAGAGAGAGCTTTCTATTAAGAGTAGTTATGAAGATTTATTGTGGTGGCTTCTTGTATGATCCTACTAACTGTGATTATTTTGAGAGAAATCACACATGCTCAAAAGGGATGATGGTGGGAATGATATAGTTCCTTCCTTGAGTTTGTAATGTGTCTTAGCTAATTGTCATTCATATATAGTTTATCAGCCCTTTATTAGAGGATTCTAAGTGCCAGCCATGGGTTGTTTTAACCAAAATGAGCTCATAGGCCATGGGTAAAAATATTACTAAAGGGGATATTTTTTATCTTACATTAGCTAATAAGGAACTTTATTTGACTTATTGAGTCATAGACACGGCCACTCGAGGAACATCCTGGCTTTTCATCTATTCTTATTGTCATGGTTCAAAATACATGCAAAATTTTCTCTAGTTCTAATTGTTGTGATTGAGGGGCTATTTTTAGGCAAAAATGCTTGAAATTCTAATGAATTTGCCGCATACTTATTGGCATAATATTTGAGTGTGATTATATGATGTTGATTTGACATAACTTGTGAACTTCAAATGAACTTTGAATATGTTGCTCTTGGCAAGCTTGGGGAGAAGGGTAGATGATTACTTTGGGCGCTGGGTTGACATTATTATTATTATTATTTTTTTTGGGAGCTTATACCATGTTCTATTTTTTTGTATTTTTAATATTTTTTGTGAGGGTTTGGATTTGTTGCGGCTCAATTTGGACATGAGGAGTTCCTTCCAGTTGATATGTGCTGTTGAGTATGTTTATCATCAAGAAGTGGACAACCAATTTGTTGGTTGCCGTAGGCTAGTCCATATAAGGCTCATTTTTGCAGTTTGTGGAGTACCTCAAAGTGTAATTCTTGATGATTGCACCCATCAATAAGAAGCAAAGTTCTCTATTATGTCTTTTAATTTGAGAACTGGTGGTTCTGAGATTGAATTTGTATTTGGAATGGAATCAATTTTTTTCTCTGAAAAAGCCATGGAGAGAACAACAATGATTTAAGATTTGACCTTTGACTTCCCTTGCCATCGTGAAACGATTCCCTCAATAGTCTTGGGGCATTGATATTGCACTTAGAGGTTTGTTCTTTTTTGATTTGAATGGGAGTCTAGCAATTATGCTATCAATTTTGATGAATCCCTTATTATATTCTTTAATAACTACAGCCATCATATGGTTGAGGATCTTTAGATTCTTTTGAGAAGTTATGGAGTTGTTTTGAATTGAGGACTGCTTGCAATATAACATCATGATTTGATTAAGAATAATTGGCATTGAAATCTATGTCTACTGAAGTTGATTAAGCAGCCAAAGAAACAAAAGCAGCTGAATTTGTTGTTTTAAAATCATTTTTTAGTTCACACATGCAGAGGAAGTGGAAGGTTAACACTTACGTTCTAGGGCTTTTCTTATGAAAATATGAAATTATGGCAAAGTTGTCATTTTGAAATGGATTTTTGTGCTTTGTATGATTCTTTTGTTGTGCGTCTTTTAATTTAGGCTAGGACATTTGGTACTATAGACTATGGTGGTAACCCCTTTACGACTATTTGTCTTTGTGCTTTGGAGCTACATTGGTGTCAATAAACCTTTTTAATTACATTCTTCTGATAATATCACGCATAATCAATCCTTGGGATCCTTGAGCATATTTTGCTCTCTCACGTAGCAGTTTTTAAATAGGCGTGATACCATTCTAGGGCTCCTAGAAAGTATTTGGGAAGCGTGTTTGGCGGAGACGTGGAGTAGTAAGGGAATGAATGTGGGCGATCAACGATTTTTGGAGGTGGATAGACGATGTTTAGTGGTTGTCCCAATTGAATACAACAAGGCAGATGAACAAACAATCCTATATGGAAATTGAGATTCACCACTTGCACAAGTTACAGACACACCACTTACAAAAGTAATACGAAACAACACTCTTTAGTGTAGAAATCAAAGATACAATCTCTAGAACACAAACAATAGCCAAAAGTCATCCAAAACAGAAAAATAAACTATATAAATAGTCTGGTAGAAAGAAACTCTATTTAGAAGAAGAAAATAAGAAATAAAGCTAAAAAAACACAAAAAAAGGTAGGATTTATTGCGATCGCAGGATCTCCCGCGTCAAATCTCATGATCATGCGGAATCTCGCATTCGCGGAATCAATTCCGCATTATGCAGGATCATACGATCCTCGCGGAAGCACCCACATTTGACGTGGGCTTGAGTTGAACTGGCCCCAACTAGTTCAGCGGGTGGAGGTTCGGTCCGGTTGGAGGCTGGATCGGTCCTATCTCACTCTTTTCACCCACATTTGACGTGGGCTTGAGTTGAACTGGCCCCAACTAGTTCAGCGGGTGGAGGTTCGGTCCGGTTGGAGGCTGGACCGGTCCCATCTCACTCTTTTCCTTAGGGGAGAATTTTTATCTCCTTC